GTAGACAATCTCAAGTTGAGACATTCAAGGTGAGGATGAATTATCCCGCACTCCCCTCAGGGGTGTGGCCTGCCTGAGTGAACTGAGTTGAGGACAGATGAAGAGATACACAGTATCAGGAAGCAGCTTACAGAGTAGCACAAAGAGTGGTGGTTAGGTTCCTTTGGAGAAGGTAGTCCATTCAGTCAGAAAGTAGCAAGTTAGCTCTACAAATTAATTAGAAAGCCTTGCATGTAGATGTTAATAGCTATGGGAGATTTTTCTTTTAGGGAGCTGGGACCCCCCAGAAAGGAAAATAGCTGAAGAAGTGCTGGGTTCTTATAGGATGAGATTCTTATAGGATGGCTAGAGAAAATTCAGTCTCACGCTGACACTGGGCATTCAAGCGGGAGTTTGACAAAATACAGTAGTGTTGTCTAGGGACAGAATAAAGAGTGATTAAGGTTGAACTCTGGGACGACTTTGGAACTGAAAACCCTGATTATTGTGTCACAACAAATTCCTAAAATTACTAAATTCTGTGTATTTATTAATTATAAGACTGCTGTTTAAAGCTGATATTTCTTCCTGGAGCTTATAACCTGTGTGACTAGTTTGCCTGAGTGTGCTATAAGATGAGTTTCTTGGGGTTTCAAATGGTGTTGTTGTTTTGTTTTTTTTAGAAAAAATTAATTGGTTTTAACAAAGTTGAGTAAAATAGATAATACTGATAGTGTTTATCTAGAAAACTTTCAAACTGGACTCCTTAAAATCTTCATGCTGCTTTTAAGATAAAAAGCTATTTAGATAGCTGTTGGCTCATCGATTATTTTCCCTTTACTTATAATAACCTCAGCACATTTATTAATAAATCAAAATGGTCAAAGTTATAGAATTTATACTCTTAGAACCTGTGTATTCTACTAAGATATGTATGTATCTCTGTGTATGTATTATATAACTTATAATTTATAGCATACAGATATCAAATTATTTCCAAGTCAAGTGTCATATTACTGTCAGTTTTTCTTAGTGTTTAGGTTGAGGTAAAGTAAAGTGAATCTTTGAACATATCACTCACTCCTGAAAGAAAAGGCATTGAGTAGACAGACACTTTTGTTTAATTTTTAACTCGTTTTCTCTACCACCTGACAGTTTTTTGTGTTATTACCATAGTATCACTTTGGGACAACTATCTCCAGGAATTGAGAAATTCCGGTTTTTCATGTTTAAATGTTCCCTAAGAGAAACATCAACATGAGAGAGACACATCCACTGGTTGCCTCCTACTTGACCCTGGCCAGGGTCAGGGACTGAACCGAAACCCAAGTACATGCCCTTGACTGGAATCGAACCTGAGGCTCATTGGTCTGCGGGCCTATGCTCTAACCACTGAGAAAACTGGCCAGGACCATATTAAATATTCTTTAAAAGCATGAGTTTAAAGACCACGTAGTTGTCTATCTTACATTTTACCAATGTTTAAGATTATTTTCAACATTTTGCTACTGTAAATAATGTTAATCCTTCTTGCACAGAAATATTTTAACTCAAATCTGACTTTCTTAACACAAATTAAGGCAGGATTGGCATTACTGACTGCAAACATTTCTAGGGAACTTGATGGATTTTTCTCAAATCGCCATCTGGAAACCCACTTGTTTGCAAGCCCATTAGCAGAGTTTCGGCATGCTTCACCACACCTTCTCCAAGAATGAATGTTAACTTCAAAAACAGCTGTGTCCATTTAATAGTGAAGAAGGATGTCTCATTACTTTTATTCACTTTCCTTGTATTACTATTGAGGTTGGACATATTTTGTCACGGTGGTTGACCCATGATTGTAAGAAAATAGCATATATATATATATATTTGTTTTATTCAAAGCAGCTATGATAATTTAACAATTAACTTCATTGCATTGACAGCTTCATTGTGGTACTAGTTCTGAGCCTCCTGAAGTCTATTAAGGGAACTTTTTAAAAAAGAGGTTTAGTGCTTATTTTGATAATAAAGAACAAGGGTTGCTGCTGAGACCTGCCGTTTAATATTGTGTAACCCTGAAGGAGTTACTTAACCTCTCTCTAAACTCCAGTTTCCTTGACTTTAAGACAGGACTTATAATCCCCACCATAATTCTCACAATAATGAGATAGCAATTATTAAAGCTTTCAGTATAATGTAGCTACTACTGAAAAATGATAACTATTTCTCTTCTGTTAATAGGTATATCAGGGTGTGATAGCATAGCTTTTAAAAGCCAGAACTTTTTTTCTTGGGGGGAGAGGTGCTGGGAGATTGCTTGGGTTGCTAGCCTAAGAGTGGCCTTACTCTTGCTGGACACAGTGGTGCTTACTGGTACTTGGTATTTTAGGAAGTTGCCCCAGAAGTGATAGGATAAATGCTCTCCAACTTCCCCTTCTTCCCCCATAGAGTAAAAGAACGAACACTACTTGACTTCCGGTCAAGATGGCGGCGTAGGTAAATGGGGTATCGCGTCCTCCCACAACCACATCAAAGTTACAACTAAACTACAGAACAACCATCATTCAAAACCGCCTGAAATCAAGCTGAATGGAAGTCCTACAACTACGGAATTAAAGAAGCAGCCACATTGAGACTGTTAGGAGGGGTGGAGGCTGACGGGCTGGTCCCACACCCATGTGTGGCGGATAAAAATCAGGAGGACACCTCGGCTGGGAAGGTCCTCCCTGAGGACTGAGGGGTCTCTGTCCCACACCAGACGCCCCGCTCAGGGTTCCAGTGCCAGGAAGAGAAGTCCTCTTAACTTCTAGCTGGAAAAACCAGCGGGAACTGAGGCTCAGGTAGGCTGACACGGCTGGAGCGCCAGGCAGCTCCTCTTAAAGGGCCCACACTTGGACTTATCTGACTCGCTCCCTCTAAGCTTGGAGGGGAGGCAGCTCCAGGGGCACCAGAGACATACAGGGAAGAACTGAGCTGTTTGGCACTGGAGCGAGGGCTGGAGAGGGGGCTTTCTCCGGGGCAAACGTGCTATCAGAGGCCTTTGTTCCTTTGGTGAGCCCTTCCCTGGGGAGGCAGACAGTCGCCATATCTGGGACTCCAGCAACCTGGCTCACACTGGTAGCCCGGCCCTGGTGATACCCTGAGGCCCCACCCCACCCAACTTTCAGGCCCACCCAAGCTGATACCAGCTGCTTAACCATAGGATTGGCCTGTCTTGGATCCTGCTTCAGGTTTTCTTAAATTCTTTCAAACAAGCAGCATCTGGTCTCAGATAGCCCTATACCTCTCATTTAGTAATACACAGAAACAAACACAGGGAGGCAGCCAAAATGAGAAGACAAAGAAACAGGTCCCAAATGAAAGAACAGAACAAAACCCCAAGAAAAGAACTAAAGTGAAATGGAAATAAGCAACCTAACATGCTGATTTCAAAATACTGCTTATAAGGATGCTCAGTGAACTTAGTGAGGGCCTCAAGAGCATAACAAAGGACCAGTCAGAAATGATGGATGCACAGTCAGAAATGAAGGAGGCATTAACTGAAATAAAGAATAATTTACACAGATTCAATAGTAGAGTACGTAAATCTAAGAAGTAAACCATCGATTTGGAATATAAGGAAGCAAAAAACAGCCAATCAACAGCAAAAAGAAAAAAGAATCCAAAAAAATGAGGATAGTGTAAGGAGCCTCTGGGACAACTTCAAGCGTGCCAACATTTGCATGTTGGGGGTACCAGAAGGACAAGAGAGAGAATGAGAAATTGAAAACCTGTTTGAAACAATAATGGCAGAAAACTTTCCTAACTTGGTGAAGGAAACAGACATCCAAGTCCAGGAAGCACAGAGTCCCAAACAAGATGAACCCCAAGAGGCCCACACCAAGACACATCATCAAAATGCAAAAGGTTCAAGACAAAGAATCTTAAAAGCAGCAAGAGAAAAGCAGTTAGTTACCTACAAAAGAGTTCCCATAAGGCTGTCAGCTGATTTCTCAAAAGAAACTTTGCAGGCCAGAAGGGAGTGGCAAGAAATATTCAGAGTGATGAAAAGCAAGAACTTACAACCAAGATTACTCTATCCTGCAAAGCCATATAAAGAGTTTCCCAGACAAGGAAAAGCTAAAGGAGTTCATCACCACCAAACCATTATTCTATGAAATGAGAAAGGGTCTTTTTGAAGAAAAAGATAAAATATATGAACAAACAAAATGGCAATGAATACATATCTATCGACAACAGAATCTACAAACAAAATTACCAGGCAGAACAGAAACATTCTCATAGATACAGAGAACATTTTGTTGGTTGCCAGATGGGAGGGGGGTTGGGAAAATGGGTGAAGAGATTAAGAAGTACAAATTCATTGCTAGACTACCTCAAAGGGAAAGGGATTGGGGGGTGGGAAGAAATAAACCAAAGAACTTATATACATAACCAATGGACACAGACAATAGTGTGGGAAAAGGTGGGAGGGGGGAGGAGTGGGGGGAAAATGAGGAACATCTGTAATACATTCAACAATAAAGATTAAAAAAAACCCAAAACAACGAACACTACATACTTCAATACTGCCACTAATGACCTTACCATTCGATCATTCTAAGGTCATTACAAGAATTTGACTTTCCTTTTAACATCATCTTGTATGTTCACCTGTCTAACTTTTTAGGGATTTATAAATATAATGTAGATTCTCATTCAAAGATTTTCTTTCACCAAGAAGTCAATTCTTTGCCAAATGGATTTTTGAGACTATAATTTATAAAGATTTAAAAAGACAAGTTTTCGATTATAGATGACATCTAGTCTTCCACACTGAAGATGTTACTATGATATATATAGTGTGGCAAAAGTAGGTTTACAGTTGTGAGTATGTGAAACAGTTTATTCTTGTATTATCATTTATTAATTACTGTATTATTTTCCACCCCATATACTAGCTGTTCTGCCACACTGACCGGGCTGACTGCCAGAGCCAGATTGACTGACATCACCCTCTGAACCACTTTCTCTTTCTCATGCTTGTGTTTTTCCAGCTGACAGCGGAGAGGGTGGGTGCTGGTTCCACCCACAGCTGCAACTGGAAAGCAAGGTTCAGAAATGTCAGCGGTCCTCCGGGAGCTGCTCCGTGTCTCTGAGAAAGCTGCCAACATTGCCCGGGCATGCAGGCAGCAGGAAGCTCTCTTCCAGCTGCTGATAGAAGAAAAAAAAGAAGGAGAAAAGAACAAGAAGTTTGCCGTTGATTTCAAGACCCTGGCTGATGTACTGGTACAGGAAGTTATAAAACAGAATATGGAGAACAAGGTAAGAAAGGTCACAGCCAAAGTAATTGCAAAATATCTACCATTGTGGCTTTTGTTCTCTGTTAGAGTAGCATGCCTTTTCTTCCCCACTCCCCTCGGAATAAAAGCACCTTAGATTCAAATAAACAATTGGGGTTTTGTTTTAATCCCTTTGTTTTGACTACAGTATTACTACAATGTTCACTGCAGAAAAATAAAAATACAGAAAAGCAAATAAGGAAATAAAAATCACTCATAATTCTTATAGCTAGAGAGAAACATTTTGCTATAGAACTTTTCCTTTATTGAGTTTCTTTTTTAATAAAGAGTACACGTTCTGTGGAAAATAAGCAAACATAAGAATCTTCTCAATCCCACTACTAGAAGAAGCCATAGTTAGGTTTTGCTATATATTTTTTAGAATGTTTTTCTTCTATGTGTATGTGTGTGCATGGCACATATAATTTATTTCAATAGAAATGAGAAAAACTATTTTATAACTATTAAAATTATTTTATAACTTTTAAAACTTTTTGATATATTAATCTCACCTTTTTGACATAATCGTGTATCTAATGGTTGCCTTGGTTATGAGCTTGTAGAGTTCTGGAGACTTCAAGTCCCCCTTTATTCTAGTAGAAAAATATTGTTTATAACTAACAATGATTATGATTCTAGGTAAGCTAATGGGGAGGACTGTATTCATAAGTAGTAATAATAAACAATAACACTAACAGACACTTATAAATGCTTACTGTGTGTCAGGCACTGTTCTAAAGGCTTACTTAACTTTTTAACTTTTATACCAATTTTATGAAGAACCCTTTAATCCTACGTAATGGGTGAGAAAAAAACTGGCACAGAGAGTAACTTGCCTGAGGTTACACAGCAAGTGAATGGCTGGGCCAGTGTTGAATACAGGCCACTACCTGGATCCAGAGCCTGTACTCTTTGCATTACAACATGGCCTTTTATATGATCTAATAATTATATATTTAAGAGGATAGAACTGTATGACAGAAGGCACTATAAATTATTGGAATAGCTTTCTATGAAATTCTCAAAATATTAGGAATCAATAAGAATCATTTAAGTGAATTCCTGACCAGAGGCAAAAAGAGAGAAAAAACAACTCTTTGAAATCTCTACAAACTATATTTTTTCATGCCCTATAATATCTGAACTAAATGAAGCAAGTTTATTTTTGTTACTGATCAAAATAGTTGGTTGCAAGGGATGGTTGAGAAACTGGGTTATAACTGTAACATTAATTTCTATGTAACATTAATTTTTATGGGCTAATGTTTGCCCCACAGCATTATAACAAGTTCAGGCAGTTGTTCATTGATAAGGTATATGCCAGGACTTACGAACAAATAAGTGAGGTTCAGTTTTGGCTATATGAAATACCTCTGTTTCCTGATTTATATTCTGTAGCCTCAGAAACAGGACTAAAATCAGGCTTGGGAACTGAACTTCAGCCCTTTATGAATAAATAGGCTTATTGCCAGCCCTCATTGACTCACACTACTCTTCAAAACTGAACAAATAACAAGTGGTTGTGGGCATTATTTAAGCTATTGGCCATCTGCGAATGACTGAGTTAAAATATTCGAAGCATTTCCTTGCTTTTGGTCCCTGAGAACATCACACTTATTATCATTCAGCATATATTTTGAGAAAAAGTTTCTTTACTGTAGAGAAAGTCAGAAGCAAAATGTATCTGAGAGCTTCCTGGTCATAGAAAGAGAGGAGAAGATTCTTACTGAGCTCCTTTTTTTTTTTCATTCTATATTGATGCACAAATTATTGGTCAAAATATTTCCCTTCTTTTTTTTGCTGTATCACCTTCCTACCCTGAAGGTGAACAATACCTCCAACAGGTGCAGAAGACACACCTGAAAGTGAAAACAAAATGTTTTCTTCTTATCCCTTCTCTTCAGTATCAAGTAATAATCTGAGGTACTTGATCAATAATATTGATTTGTATAAGCTACTAGGGTGCTATTTAAGAGCAACAGTTAAAATATTTCCTTTGAAAACATTCAAATTCTATGGTCCTTAAGTAGATAAATGAAGTCTGTAGAAATACTTCTGCAAACTCAACAGGACAGAAGGAAACCAGGCTCTACTATGATTTGTACTTTTTATAAGGGCAAAGGAGCAGGAAAATACTTGAAAATTAAGTACTGAACCAAACTGACTTCACTTTCTTATGCAGAGATTGATTTCTGGAATTGTAAATTTCTACATTTCAGATCTAATTGTACTATTTAATTTGAAATATAAAATGGAAATCTGTTCAGAATTGAACATGTATATGGGTTTTATTTTTTTATTGTTATTGTTTTGGTCATACTCTGAATCATTCAGTTTCCAGGCTTGGGAAAAAATATTTTTGGAGAGGAATCCAATGAGTTTTCTAATGATTTGGGTAAGTATACAAATCTTAATATATTGTTGTAACTTAATTATAATATACTATTTTAATTTTCAATTTACATTATAAAATAAATGGATGTTTGGAAGACTTTCATGTAAATGAAAATGTATTTTAATGTTTAGCTTCATTCACTTCCTCAGAATATCAGGCCATTTAACTTAGGGAAATGTGGTATCTTGGACTTATTTAGCAAATCCACATATATTATTTTAGACATAAATCTATAACATTTAAATAATGTATGTCTTGTCCTTTTGGAAAGTTGTATGTTCCTTTGGGACTCTAGTGGAAGTTACAGATGCCCCAGAAAGGTGTACTTCTACACAACTGTGCAGACAGTTGCAGATCCAGGTTTTAAACCCATCTGTGACCTGCTGGGGAGTCCATGGACCTTGGCTGAGAATGTAGAGAACTCCCTGTCCCTAAATACTGTGTGATCTTGAGCAAATCACCTCACTTCTCTTGGCTCTCAGAACCTCTATAAAGGGAGTTGGACTAATTAAAAATGTTCCTTTGAATACCAACTTTTAAGTCTTATTTAATTAGTTTCCTGTGTGCCAGATTCTCCTTTGATGGGCCTTCATGTTCCCTGTAGTATAGAGAAAAATATCAAAATCTCCATCTGATTCTTTTCAGAGAAATAAATCATTTTTAGCTTGAACTTTTTGTTTGCTTAATGGTAGAAGATTAAAAATAATGAACTTTACACACTGATCCTGTGACAAAAAGTTAAACATCTAGAGGCACATTTACTTAGAAAAAAAAATGATTTCTGGATTAACTGAAAAAAATTTTTTCTCTTTCATGGGCTATGTGTTCAGATGCAGTTAATTCTGTGACAGATAATGGAAGGTTGTAGGAAAAAGTTTGGGTTTTCCTTTCAAGTGTGATGTGAATTCACTGGAGATTTTAAAGCAAAGGAGTGATGTGACTTGCTCTTCTGAATGATCCCAAGACTTTACTGAGCCCAGGTTAGATGCTTAGTAAGTGGCAGTAATTAATATTATTCCTCAACTGTAATAGTCTAATTTAATTTGAATTTAATTTAAGTGAATGTGTCTTGCTGATTCAGAGTCATCATTGTAATGGGTTTATACTGTGTTTCCCAGACTTTAATGATTATATTAATCACCTCGGGATTTTTTAGATCTGGTATGAGGCCTGAAGTTCTGAATTTCATTTTTATTTTTATTTATTTTTTCTAATTTTTTTCTTTATTGATTTTAGAGAGAGAGGAAGGGAGAAGAAGAGAGAGAGAGAACCATCAATGAGAGAGAACATCAGTTGGCCGCCTCCTGCATACCCCGCACTGTGGATGGGGCCCACAACCTGGGCATGTGCCCTGACCAGGAATCGAACCAGCGACCTCTTGGTGCATGGGTCAATGCAAAACCATTGAGCCATACTGGCCGGGCTCATTTTTATTTTTAAAAGAACTTTCCATTTTATTTTTCAATTACAGTTTATATTCAATATTATTTTGTATTAGTTTCGGTATCCAGCATAGTGGTTTGACAATCATATACTTTACAAAGTGTTCCTTCCCCCTGATATTTTCATTATTCTCCTGGCACCATACATAGTTATTATAATATTATTGACTATATTCCCTACACTGTACTTTACAACCCTGTGACTATTTCATAACTACCCATTTGTATGAAGTTCTGGAGTTAGGAGTTTTTGTCTATGTACCTAAAAAGCCCCAAAGTGCTGTGTTTTCTTAATATTTAAAAGTTTATGTTCTCACCCTGACCGGTTTGGCTCAGCAATTAGCGCGTCGGCCCATGGACCAGAGAGACCCGGGTTCAGTTCCCACTGAGGGCACATACCTCGGTTGCAGTTTGTCCCCAACCCTGGTTGGGGTTGTGTGGGTGGCAACCAGTCGATGTGTCCCTTTCACATCGATGTTTCTCTCTATCTCCTCCTTTCTCTCTCTCCTCCTCTCTCTCCCTCTTGCTCTATCTGAAGATGAATGCAAAGAAAAATGTCCTTGGGTGAGGACTAAAAAAAAAAAAGTTTATGTTCTCCATTGCTGTCACTTTTTGTTGTTATTAATTTGCCAGCCTCTTGCCTCACTTTTGTTGGGAGCTGGAACCACATTAATGGGGGGTCTCAGAAGCGTGTTTAAAGTGATGGAAAAGCACCTGGAGGTGGCAAACTGGTTTCATGTGGAGAAACAGCTTTGGTTACATCCTGATTTCCAGTGTTTCTCAGAGGAGAGCTATCCTATGTATGCTATTTAGAGTCACGTAGTTTCACTTTTTTATTTAAAGATTAGTATACTTCAACTTAGTACTTTACTGGGCATAAACAATTTTTCACTAGAAGCAGCACCATAGAAGAGGTAGAAACACTTTGGAGTGTTGACAACACCACTGTTCTTTTCAATCACATATTCAAACACAACAGGGTAACCTATGTATATTAAAACTCAAAAGGCAAAAAACAAGTAAAAGATTGATTATCAAGGACTCAGGATGCAGGGGTTGTTAACAGGCCAATGAGGCCCCTTCAGCTGTACACAAACTGTGCGTGTGCCCATGTGGGTCTTTTCTGGGGAGAAGAGTTAATTCCAGGACCATCCCTCACTATATTAAGTGCATGAGCAACCACCAGGCATCTGTGACTGAATGACCACCCCACCCCCCAACCCCAATGTGATTCTGGCAGCCAGCCCAGTCAGAAGCCACTGACACAGATATGTTGCCTTCATTCCATCTAAGTGCACAGCTTTTGCTCCTCTTTACCCTCTGTTGTTCTTTCTCCCCTGAAACTCTTGAAATGTAATTACTTTTAGTTTGTCTTTACTCTAGGAGAAAAGATTATCTTGAGACTGTGTCCAACAGAGGAAGAAACAGCAGAGCTTCTTAGCAAAGTCCTTAATGGGAACAGGTTGGCATCTGAAGCATTAGCCAAGGTTGTTCATCAAGATGTTGCCTTTACTGACCCAACTCTGGATTCAGCAGAGATCACCATTCCACAGGACATTTTGGGAGTTTGGGTGGATCCCATAGGTAAGTAGAGGATAGTGTGTTTGCTTTTATTTATTTGTTCTTTTGTGTGTGTGTGGCTGGGTGGGGGGTGGCTTAGAGACGTAAAAATTGAGCCCTAGCTAGTTTGGCTCAGCGGTTAGAGTGCCGGGTTTGGTTCCCGCTAAGGGCACATACCTTGGTTGCAATTTTTCCCCGGCCCCGTTTGGGGTCGTGTGGGTGGCAACCACTTGATGTGTCTCTCTCACATCAATGTTTCTCTCTCTCTCTCTCTCTCCCCCTCCCATTCTATCCGAACAAAAATATCAAAAAGTGTCCTCGAGTGAGGATAAAAAAAGAAAGAAAGATAAAAATTGAATGTAGTTTAACTCTGCTGGAAGTTCAAAAAACTTTAAAGTTTTAAAGTGATAAATGAAGAGTTGTTTATGTGTTATGATGTATTGTTATACATAGATGTGTATCTATAATATATAACAGATATGTATAAGTGTTTGTGGTATTTATATCTGTGCGTTTGTGCACACACAATCAGGCACACGTACAAAGCTGAATAAACTCATCTTTGAAAGACTGTAGGGGCCAGACTGCTAAGTATGAGAGAAGACCAGAGCGACAGAGCTGCGCCTCACTGAGCACACACACCAGTTAAAGAACACCCGGCCCCAGTAGGCATGTGCCATATGGGAGTCCAGCCAGCTCTTCAGATGTTCAGAGAGAAATGAAAGTCCAGGTGGTTCAGTGAGATCTCTCCATTTTTAACCACTGGCTACGAATTCAGTTAAACAAGCAGTCAAAACCACTGTACCGGTCAAGCACAAGACAGCTAAATATGACTCATGAGCAGCTTGTAAGCCCTGTGTAAACGTCACCCTTTTTTGGGGAGGGGTCATGACTATGATAGAACCAAAATCTGTAGCTCGCTGTTCTAAAAGTGTAGGCCTCCTCTCAAAGATGCTATAAACACAGTGCCCTAGGTATTAATTTTCAGAAATTCTTTTTTCTTTCCCTGACTGCCTGGCATAGTCCACCCAACACAACTGGCCCCATTCGTTGTGCTGTACAGCAATCTCACACACCCTTCCCACCCCGCAAGCCACTGACCTGACGGAAGTGCCTTCGATCATTGAGGAAATACAGAACGTTCAGCCAGTGGATTGTAAATGCAAGAGTCTTTCCCCAATTTTTTTTTTTTTTTTTATCACTTAAGGTAAATCAGCATCAGTTAAGATTTCTGAGGACAGGGATCTCCCAGTTCTGGGTTCTGTCCTAAACTGAGTGTTAGCTAGCTCTCTCGATCTCTCGCCCAGCACATCCTTTCCTGGGTGTTAACTCACCCGATGTTGGCAGTCAGCTGCTGGCATGTACATCTCTTAAAAAGAAACCTAGCTCCACCCTGGCCGGTTTTCTCAGTGGTTAGAGCCTTGGCCTGCAGTCCAGAGAGACCCGGGTTCAGTTCTCTTTGAGGGCACATACTTGGGTTGTAGTTTGTTCCCGGGTCATGTGGGAGGCAGCCACTCAATGTGTCCCTTTCACATCGATGTTTCTCTCTCTCTCTCTCTCATTCTCTTCCTCTCTCTCCCTCTCACTCTATCTGAACAAAAAATGGAAAAATGTCCTCGGGTGAGGATTAAAAAAAAAAAAAAGAAACCTAGCTCCTCAGCTTTTTTCCCACAGGAACCCTATTAATTTTTTTCCTTTTGGGCCCCATAATTGTCTTTCCTCCTAATTTGAGTGATCCCCCTGCCCTCCCAAAAAGATAATTTTACCCCGGACAGATTCCTGTAAGGAGGCTTTTCTGTCCCATTGGACTTCTCTGATTAATAAGAGCTCCAAGAAATCCCACCAGTTGTCTCGAGTTACTAGCTTTTAAATGCTTTCGACATGATGGCTATTTATGAGTGATTATTATATGCACAGTGCTATGCTAGTTGCCACAGGAACCACAGGCATGTCCTCTCCCTTCGGGTTCCCATATGATCAGGAAAATGAAACTTAAAAGTGAAGTGAAAGAAGTCAAATAACCAGTCAATACAAGTGACACCCAAAGATAAAACCCGATGGTCACTGTCTTAGTCCGTTCAGGCTGCGACAACAAATACCGGGGACTGGGTGGTTCACAAACAACAGAAATGTATTTCTCCCGGTTCTGGAGGCTGGGAGTCCAAGAGCAAGGTGCCAGCATGGTCAGGGGAGGGCTGTCTTCCTGGTTCATAACCAGTACCTCACTGTGCCCTCACAGAGTGGAAGGGACTACGGATCCCTCTGCAGCCTCTTTCACAGACATCCCATTCGTGAGGGCTCCACCCTCATGACCTAAGCACCTGCCAAAGGCCCTACTTACTGATACCATCCATCCCTTTTGGGGGTTAGAATTTGGGAGGGGGCACAAACATTCAGACCATAGCAGTTATTAAATTAGAAGAAAGAAATTATATAGGACAGAGTTTATAGATGTATTCATCTTTAATTTCTAAATAATCCATTACCTGAATCCAAACAAATTTACTGTATTTTCAGATTCAACTTATCAGTATATAAAAGGTTCAGCTGACATTAAATCCAACCACGGAATCTTCCCCAGTGGACTTCAATGTGTCACCATTTTGATTGGTGTCTATGACATACAGACAGGGGTGCCCCTGATGGGAGTCATCAACCAGCCTTTCGTATCGCAAGACCTAAATACCCTCAGGTAAAAGAGGAACGCTTTTGGTATATTATGGTTTTTAGAATTTACAACCTTAGCTTTGCTTATTGTCTAGATGGTCACTCCACATGGCATTCCCATGTCTTGCTGCACTGGGTGTTCCTACTAAAAGTCTGCATATTTGAATTCAAGTTATCTTATTTGGCCTAATTTTTTTGGCATAGCTTTATTCAGGGCTAGATGCATGCTGGTAGAAACTTTGAAAAGAAATGGCCTCTTGGGGAAATCATTGTTTTGCATTTGGAATATAGCATCCTGTTCCTATTCCTAGACTCCATTCAAAACCAGGTTAATGGAACAGTGGTAACAGTGTCTTCTAATACATTTGGAATAAGATAGATGCTGTCACTATATAGCCAGCTGAACTTTTACACAATTTTAGAAGAAATTCAAAACAAATTGTGAAAATTATCCAGCCAAATGATGAGTAGTGATCAGGATGAGACCCTGACTACGGGTGCTGTCCCTATACATGTGTCAGTCTCCTCCCTCTCCATCCTCCATGGATCCTGCACGGAGCACAGAGGGAGCCGGTTGTCTTGGACCATGGCCTGTGCTTTGGGACTGACTCCAGGGCATGGCAGAGTCCAGGTGGAAATTAGCAGCTTTTCTCCTGCGGTTTTCGTTTTTTACTGAAGTAGATCACATTGTTTTATCTGTGTAGGACTACATGTTTTTTTAAATTGAACTTTGACTTGTTTTTGGCAACCAAAAATTATTTGCTCTTTAATAGTAACAAACTACACCCCTGGAATTATGACATTTTCCCTCTACCCCTGCCTTCTTCCAATCTGAAAATGCAATTGTTACCTTTAAAATGTCATTAAGAAATTACGGAGAGTTGGGCCTGGAGCAGACATGACCATGGCCCAGGAATGGCTGACAAAGCAGGTCGTGGCACAGATTCTGGAGTGATGCTTAGATTCTTACACTGACATCCTCTAAGCCTTAGCTTCTTCTTCTGTAAATAGAGTAAATTACCCAACAAACACAGTGAATTAAACACTGCGAAATGATAGGTGCTATTATTATGTTTGTTGCCAAAAATAATGAGACCATCTTTCTTGGTATTCAAGTTGAAATGAGGCTTGTGAATAAGACAATGAAAAGGAGTTACCAAGTGAAGAAACATGTATAAGGATCATAAACGACTTGCAGATTTAAAAATCAGGTTATCCATCTCTTCATCTTTTTCCCTTTTAAAGTGGCAATAGAATTTTGCCACGTCCCTCGAGGCCCAGAAGTCCCACAGATATTGCAGCATTGCCCTAGAGACGGATGCAGTGCTGCCGTGGAACGGAAAGCATTCCTAATCCACAGGCCGCTGCATGCAGAGAAGTCACTTTTAGAAACAAATGAGCTACTTGGATATCGATTTCTAGGCTTAAGGGCATTGAGACTCATTACATTAAATATATATTTTTTCACATCATGAAGTTGGAAAGCAACATGAATAATAAAAAACAAATATGATAACCTACCTCCACAAACCGAAAGTTCTCTTCCACAGGTGGAAAGGACAGTGCTACTGGGGCCTTTCTTACATGGGAACCAACATCTACTCACATCAGCCCCCCATCTCTAAAAGAAATGGCAGCGAACCTCGGAGCCAACTGACTGAAGACGCCAGCTCCGAGGCTGAATCCTCGCACCATTTTTCAGCTGTCATTAGTACAAGTGAAAAGGAGACTATCAAAGCTGCACTGTCACGTGTATGTGGAGATCGCATATTCCGGGCAGCTGGGGCTGGTTACAAGAGCCTGTGTGTTGTCCAGGGCCTTGTTGACATTTACATCTTTTCAGAAGATACCACATTCAAGTGGGACTCTTGTGCTGCTCATGCCATACTCAGGGCCATGGGTGGGGGAATGGTAGACTTCAAAGAATGCTTGGATAGAAATCCAGAAACGGGGCTTGATTTGCCACAGTTGGTGTACCACGTGGAAAACAAAGGTACTAGTGGGGTGGATCGGTGGGCTAACAAGGGAGGACTAATTGCCTACAGATCAAGCAAGCAGCTGGAGACATTCCTGAGCCTCCTCATCCAAAACCTCGCACCTGCAGATACATGCCCATAGACAAACCTTTTCCTCAGTGTACTGGTAAACCAAACTGTGAAACTCTCTCCCAAATCTGTCTTTTGAAGATAGCTTTGTCCTATAGGTGGTCAACATTCATCTTCCTCTTTTGAGGAGCATTTTTCCATTATGTGTTCATAATAATGTTAATATCAGTAAATAAATGACTTTCATGCAATAAATGTGTGAAATTCTTATAGTGAATATTGTGCTATCAGTGTTGCTTGAAACATTTCAATAATGTATTAGAGAGGAGGAAAACCTGCCCAGTTAGTAAAACTCCTCTGAACATCTAAGCGATAAGTAAAATGTTCTGAAGAGCCCAAGAGGGGGTTGTGCTTGCATTTTGTTTCCTGTCTTCAAGGGAAAGTCTGCAGCTTTAGCCTTTGGCAGAGCATTTAGAACTGTGAATCTGAGGCATAATTTAGCTAAGTTCATGTACTTTCAACAGTATGCCTGTGGATGTTATAAGAATTTAAGCCTGGAGCCTCCCCACCCCCCGACACACACACACACACACACACACACACACACTTTCACACATTCTCATACCCTCTTTCACATCACATACTCTAATCCTCTTAGACATACACACATACCCTCCCTCTCTCTACTTCTCTCTTTCACTAATACTCTCCATGCACACTCCATTTCAGAAGTTAAGGTAGAAGGAGACAGAGTAGAGGTTTCTGCAGTTTTTGCCTATGTACTTCAAAAACCTCCACTTCAAAAACCAGAGGCAGACATAAGACTGAGGCTGCTCCTAGAGCTCTTCAGTCCCCCAAAGAACCATAGCTTGGGACCCGAGCCTCCTCTCCCCACCCCTCGCCCACGCATATCTGACAACAGAGCACAGTCCTGGAGAAGGGAAGAACAGCCTTGATTCTTCCTGCACACACCTGATGACCCACATTAGCCCTCTGCTCAGCTCTGGACAACCCACCCCCTAAATGACAAGGGATATTTTCTGAAGTAAAAATTGAACATGGATCTTGAAAGAAAACAACAACAACAGGTAGAGTTAAATATATATAGTCCTTGTGTCTATTAGCATCCCTTATTGAATGTCCTAGATCACTTCCTAGTCTCTTTAGCAGACCTGATAAGGATGTAGTGCTGCCATCTACAGGCATCAAGTCTCAGCCCTGAGTTTGTTCCACCTTGCGCCCTCTAGGGGCCAAAGTATATTTCTGCAGCATTTTCTTTTTACAATTACAAACCAATGAAAACAAACTGTTTCTAATAGTATTTTGTGGCATACAGCAAGTCCAACAATTTATCTAGTGATAGGGTTATAGTTTTTAAAGTTTGAATTGTGCTTTGTGATTGATTGAGGGCTCCTAAGCTGTATAGGGGTTGACAAAAGTAGGTTTACAGTTGTGAGCACAGCAAAGAGTTTATTCTTATATTATTTATTAATTATTGTATTATTTGTATTCCAACTGTAAATCTAGACTTTCCCACCCTGTATATTCTCACTACTTAATATTTAATTTTAATTCACTGAGTTCATTCTTTTTTTTTTTTAATTTTTATTATTTTTTTACAGATGTTTCTCCTTTTTCCCCCCTAGACACCCTCCTCCTCCTCCCACCCTCCCACCCCCCTGCATTGTTGTCTATGTCCATTGGTTATGCATACATGCATACAAGTTCTTTGGTTCATCTTCTCCCCCCAACCCCCCTACCCTGAGGTTTGTCAGTCTGAACCATACTCCTTTCTATGTCTCTGAGTCTATTTCGTTCATTAGCCTGAGTTCATTCTTCACAAAACACATTGAAAAACAAAACCCAGAAAAACTACTCCTGCTCCCTCATATGAACCAGGATGGAGAAACAGAATGTGGTTCAAGAAAAAACTTTTGGGCCCTGGCCAGGTAGCTCAGTTGGTTAGAGCATCATCCCCATTAGGCCAAGGTTCCGGGTTTGATCTCTAGTCAGGGCACTTACAAGAATCAATCAACGAATGCGTAAATAACTGGAACAACATATCAATCTCTCTCTCTCTCCCTCTCAAATCAGTAAATAAAAATTTTAAAAAAGGAAAAAGCTTTCATTGTCCACATGAAAATTTTAGAATATGTAAATCATCAATAAAATGCAGTGAAAACAGTCATCTTCAATGTGATCTAAACAGGCAGTTGTTAATTTATTAGGGGACAGGAAGAAGCTGGATAGAACAAGGACTCAGATATATTCTGTAAACATCTATTACACACACTGTCAATCCTTGAAGGAAAGCCAAGGCTCACGTTTAAGTATGCATAAACCACACCCATGTGAGTATGATCTTCAATATTCATTTCTTTACAGGAAGAACTTTAAATATTCGCAAAATAATCTGAGAGCATAATCATTTTGGATTTAAAATTTCCCCGTTTTTACAATTGCCTCGTGATCAGTAATATTTTTTAAAAAATATTTCTATTTACTTTTAGAGGGAGGGGAAAAGGGAGGGAAAGAAACATCTATGTGAGAGCAAAACATCAATTGGCTGAGCCTGCACACCCCCTACGGGGGACTGAGCCTGCAACCTGGGCATCAAACTGGTGCCCTGATCAGGAATTGAACTGGTGACCTCTTGACGCATGGGACAACACCCAGCCAACTGAGCAATGCTGCCCAGGGCATTAGTAATGTTTTTAAGACTCACCGTTATCAACCCTTTCCAAAGCCTTCAATTCTTTGTTTTCAAACTCATGTTCCATTATTTTATATTTAATTAATCTAGTATTAAATATACGATTGGGATATACAGTTTTGGAAAGAAGTCAACAACTCCAGGTAAACATGGAACTCAGTTGATGGGAACAGAGTTGGGGGTCGTGATGGAGGGGTGTTCCAGAGAGATCAGGTGTCTGTGCATTGGCCTGTGTATTTTACAGGAGACTGGCAGAGACAGGAGTCTGCCATGTCCCTTAGGTGAAGGCTAATAGAGAGCTTCCAGGGCACATCAGTTCGAGCAGTCTCTGGGAAGCCCAGCCAGTGTCAGTTCCTCTCCTGTTCTTACAAGCCACATCCAGTGGCTCAGGAAACCCTCGTAGCTACGATTTCAAAATACAGCCAGAATTGAGCTATTCCTCATCACTCTGCTACCCTCACCCTTTGTCAGGCCTTCTTTATGTCTCACCAGGATTATTGCAATGAATTCTTATCTTGCCTCCACCTGTTTGCAACACAGAAGCCAGAGTGATCCTTTTCAAACATCTATTAGACCATGTCTCTGTTCTGTTTAAACCCTCCAACAGAAAAAACAAACAACGACAGAAACAAAACAACCCTCTAATGGTTCCTCAACTCTCTCAGGGTACAAGCCAAAGTCCTCACATAGCTTACCAGGCCCACCATCCACCTCCTACCCCTGTGGGATAAACAGTCATCTGCTCTTCCTCTCCTTGCCTACTTTGTTCCAGCCCCACTGCCTTGCTTGCTGTGCCCTGAACTTGCCAAGCGTGCCCCCACCCACCCACCCCAGGACCTTTGCACTTACTGTTTTCTCTGACTGGAAAGCTCTTCTCCACACATTGGCATAGGTCCTTCCTTCATTTCCATCAAAACTGCTCAACTGTCACCATGTCTGTATGAACTTTACTTATCATTATTGCAACCCACATCCTCTCACCCATCCCACACTTCCTATCCCTTGCCCCACTTTCCCCGCCACAGCAATAGCCTTCTAATACAAGACAACTTGTTTCCTCTGTCTCCCTACTCTAGAATGTTAGCTCCACAAGAGAAGGGATTTTCGTATGTCATGTATCTTCATTGCTCATGTGTTAAATGCATATTGATTTAATGAATGGACTGGGCTCAGAAACGGGACAAGAATTAATATGTATTATCACCTACAACTTTACTTCTAGGCATTATTTTCAAAATACTTCAGAAAACTGCTCTAGTGCTGAGAATTAGTCCTAGAGTTGGTTGGTTAAATTCCCAAACAATCACTTTAATGCTTGAAGTAACCTGGACTCCTGTGTCAGAATTTCCCAAGCTAATGTTCAAGGCTTGGATATTAGCCCTATTAAGAGTTGAGGGAAGCCCTAGCCGGTTTGGCTCAGCAGTTAGAGCGTCCACCTGCGATCTGGAGAGACCCGGGTTCGGTTCCCACTAAGGGCATGTACCTCGGTTGCAGTTTGTCCCCGGCCCTGGTTGTTCGTGCGGGTGGCAGCCACTCGATGTGTCCCTTTCACGTCGATGTTTCCCTCTCTCTCTCTTCCTCTCTCTCCCTCCCACTCTATCTGTACAAAAAATGGAAAAATGTCCTCAGATGAGGATTAAAAAAAAAAGAGTTCAGGGAAAAAAATAATGGTCAAGTCACTTTTCCTCCACTCTCATTCCTACTGATCACAGGGCAGGACAGAGAGAGCTTGCAGTCGCTGGAACGCAAGGGAAACTGGCCACCTCCTCTACAGCAAAAGCTAAGCCCTTTCAACGGGGTTTGGAAATCAGCAGCTTGAGATACAATGCTGTGTAAATGTATCTACTTTAGGTCACGTACTTCTAAAAACAGAGAGTTTTATGCCAGGATGGCCTACCAACCTCACCCTTTCAAGCAAGCCCAAACTGTGTTAGGACTGGTTACTGTGGGGACAAACTCATACAGTTAAATTGATATATCGAGGCTTAGAGTACAGAAGTGGGTAAAATAACAAAAAGCCAGAGAGAGTTAATATATTCTTATCCTTAAGAGACAGGAGGGAGTACCATTACAGTAGGAAAAGTGTAGCTTTGATGTTCTGTTTCCCCAGGACAAATATTTTTTATCAATTCATCATACTAATTAATATATCATAAGCCAAGTCATGCATGTGGCAGGTTCGTTCAATGGTGGTTGTTGTTTTTTTTAAAATAAATTCTAAGGATTATGATCTAATCATCCAGATTCATGATCCAGTCTGTAGATAATCCAGACTTGTGCCACCCAAATGGAATCCACTAGCTTTAGGTGGTCCACTGAGCACTTGAAATGTTACTAGTCTGAAGTGAGATGTGCTGTAAGTGGCCCGGCTGGTGTGGCTCAGTGGTTGAGCATTGACCCAGGCACCAAGAGGTCGCCAGTTTGATTCCCAGTCAGGGTACATGCCCAGTTTGTGGGCCTGACCCCCAGTGCGGGGACATGCAGGAGGCGGCCAGTCGATGTTTTCTCTCATTGATGTTTCTATCTCTCTTTCTCTACTTTCCTTTCTCTCTAGAATCAATAAAGAAAAAGTATTTAAAAAATGTGCTGTAAGTGGAAATATATACTGGATTTTATGAAAAATAAAATATAATTTGTTATAGATATTTCTATAACTTAATTTTTCAGTGAGATACTAGTTTTAAGTTTTCAAATAAAGTACCTTGCAACTTGATGAAGTTATAACGAAGCAATATGTCACTAATGCACAAAGTACACTAATAAAAGCAATGAATAAATATTTCATTAAAATAGTTCTATTTTCTAGGTCCTGCCTGTAAATTACTCATTTATACTTGGTTGTTCTGTTTCTCACATTTCCCATGTTATAACTAATTTATTCTTTCTTTCATGCAGTCATATGCTACTGTATCTTCACTAACTGACTTAAAATCTGTCAAAATAACATGATGGCAGGAAAATTCTTGTCTGCCAATTTGTTTCAATAGGCCAAAGTGAACCACAAATGAGACTTGACATATACCTTACTACCAAGGAAAGAGTAAAAATTGGGATGAGGGACAGAGCACAGGTTTTGGAATAAACAGACCTGGGTTCACTACCACCTATGATGTGATCTTAGGTTTGATACTAAGCCATGTAACTTCTTTGAATCCCAGTTTCTTCACCTGGCAAAATGATTTATGCCATCTGTCAGGAATACTGTCAGAAGCAAATGAAATAATGTATGTAAAACATCTCTAACACAGTGGATACTCAATAAAACACAGCTACTAATTATTTCATTATTTATGTATAATGCAGTCAGTCTAAAAGTTATTAGGAAATAAAATTGTGGCAAAATAAATTGACATTTTACTTTATTCAGTTACTAATTCAGATAATCTGTTTAGTCCTAATCCTTTTATGGTAATATTCTAACATAATATTACATGAATAACAAACATATATTGAGACCTATACTTCACATGCTGTTAGACATTTACTCGCATTATTTTGCTTAAAGTAATGGGCAAAATTTGTGTATCCCCAGCTTCCAAAGCATAACATTGTCTTTTCTTCTGACTGGATGTTTTGCTTGTACTTAAAAAAATAAGATAATTTTCAAGATCTGCTTTTTTTTTTTTTTTTTTTTGGTACGTGCCCCCAGCGGGAACCAAACCCAGGACTCTCTAGTCCACAGGCTGACGCTCCAACTGCTGAGCCAAACAGGCCAAGGCCAAGATCTGCTTTTTAAAATATTTTTTATAGATTCCTTCCACCTGTTACTCTCTATACCAGTCTCCTGCTTCCACTTACCCTCACTGCTAACTCACCCACCTGTTCTTAAGGATTGGCTCCCACCTGGAGCAGGGTCCCAGTGATCATTGTCTTCTAACGAACTTTGTACCCTGTGAATGTCCTGCCCTGGCTTCCGTCCCCTTAGTATAGGTCCCTGCATGAGAGTTTGAAGTGCTCAGGGATGAGTATCTATAAAAGGCTTTCTGTTATGTTATAGTGATAGGAGTATTTAAAAACAGGCCTTTAAAAGCAGCGGTTAGAGCATCAGCCTGCAGACCAATGAGTCGCAGATTCGATTCCGGTCAAGGGCACGTACCTCAGTTGCAGTTTGTTTCCGACCGTGTGGGAGACAGCTGGTCGATGTGTCTTTCTCACGTCAATGTTTCTCCCTCCCCCTCCCTCCCACTCTATCTCAAGATAAATGGAAAAATATTCTCAGGTGAGGATTAAAAAAACTTAACAAAAAACAGACCTTTGCACCTATGTGTAAAGTCCAGCCAGAAGAAGTCTGCAGTAATACTTTATATCACTAAGCATTAGCTTTAACTGAGAGTGGCAACATGGCAAAGTGACAACGGCCTACATAAGATGAAAGTGGTTTGATAAGTTGTCCAGAGCTGAAAGGGGGCTCTACCCTAAAGTCATCGGGGACTCAGCCTCCTCCCATTCCAGTGCTCCCCCATCCCAGACTATGGCTGTTCTTCTCATGGTCTAAGACAGCAGCATCTGCATTTTAGGCAGCAAGATACAGGAAAAGACAGAGAAGGAAAAGGTAGGTGATTTTTCATGTCACTGACCAGAGCCTAGTCACATGACAACACTTATAAGGGAAGCTAAAAAATGTAAACTCTATTTTGGACAGTCATGTACCCAGCCAAAAATCAGGTGTTTTGTTACCCTCTATGATCCAGTCTACCTGAGCTGTCCGGGCATTGGCCTTAGTCTGACCTCTGATCATACATCCCTTGTTCTTATCACTAAGGTCTCATCACTTTCATAGCCAGATTACTCCAACCCTTATCCTCTTCTTCCCCCAAATAATTAGAAGCACCATAAATACGCACATGCATCAAGATGATGAAGAAAGGGAACTTCCTGCTGGTGAAAGCACAGATGACTGCAGAAGGCAAACTATGCAGTGACCCTCTCCTGAGACCTGCAGGGATTCTTGATCCTGGCACCTCTCCTAGAGGCCTATTGCCCCCTCTTACCAGACCACAACTTCTGCCTCTGTCTGAGGAGTGCTCAGCATGCACACAAGCTTGAGTCAAGTCTCTGCTTTCTATACCTGGCTTAGCCTTTCCAGTTAAGGTGTCTGCTCAGCTCAGTCCACAGCAGCTGGTCATAACACCTTGCCCTGCATCCACAGTCCAGAGCTCGTGACTGAGACCAGCCTTGCACACTGCCCGTTCCATGGCAGACAAGGAAAAACCTCGATGTAACACATTGGCTGTTTTCCCAAAAGACGGGAGAAAAAAAGCTAACACAAGTTTGCCAGTACCCTCTCATCCCCTGGCTTTGTGGCCATTTTGTTCTCTACATGCTAAATGCAAAGAGAAGGTAGAAATGGTGAGTTGTAACTGTTCAATCCACAGTACACACCTCTAATTGTATGTGACCTGGTACTCAGGTTGAAACACGAGCAAGCCTGAGTAACTGCAAATGTGCCCTTCAGTGTCAGAGGTCTTCATTAAAGCCTGGGATGCACACAAATGGATCTTTGAAACTGGTCCAGGGGATGTAGCTGTTTTGAGCGTTGGCACTTTTCTTAAAAGGTTTTATTTGCTTATTTTTTTCTATCTGATAATCAGGCTAGCCAAAATTCTGGCTCTGTAACAGAAGGACTATAATTCTAAATATTTATTTTCTGGGCTCTATTTTCAATGCTTCTGATCCTAAAGGAGACATGATCAGGCAGGATTAAGAGTTTCCTCCCTTTACCCATTCAAAAAAAAAAAAAAAGAAGAAGAGGAAGAAGAAAAGAAAAAGAGTCATCGAGTCTGGCTTCATGGGCTTGTGATTTTGCAGTTGCAGAAGGCTCCTCGTTCAGAAGGGCACCATACTTGGTTCTGCTATTTTCATCTTGAAATTTTTTATCTTTGAACTTATACTTTGAAAGGACAGTGGAGCATGGGAGTG